TATCAAGAGCTTTACGCCAGCTTTGATTATAATGGGTGTGTTTAGTGTGCTGGATTTGTTAAGCGTGTCCAAGCTGAAGTTGCCCAAACTGGGCGGCTCCGAGTCCATATGGAAGGATGTATGGGAGCTGGTGCGTCAGCCACCGATTGTCACATTTCTGTTTTTCGCCACCATGGCCGGCATTATTGACTCCTTCATTTACTTTATGTTCTGGCATTTGGAAGAGGTAGCTGCTGAGACGGGCTACATGGCGGACATTAAGCTTATCGAAGGGCTGGTGGTGGCTGCCGAGTGTCTGGCCGGTGAGGTGCCATTCTTTTTCTATAGCGGTAAGATTATCAAGAAACTTGGATATGTGCACTGCATGAGCATGTGCTTCTTCTTTTATGCGGTACGCTTATCGCTCATATCCTGGATACCAATCCCTGGTATCTAGTGGGCGTGGAGCTGTTCTTCCAGGGCGTTACCTATGCCCTCTGCTACACTTGCATTGTTGCCTATGCTTCGGCAGTGGCACCACCCGGCACCTCAGCCACTGTACAGGGTCTCATGGGCGGGCATGGACGATGGGTTGGGCTTCTCCATTGGCTCGCTCATTGGGGGTATTATGCTAAAGCGTCTGGGTGGACGTGAAAGCTTTAAGTATTTTGCCATAGCTGCGATTTGCACCTGCGTGGCGCACATTGTGATGCGCCCGTTGTCCAGAAAACGCCAATATTTGCCCAAAAGCGGATATCAAGTGCCCGCGGGCCAGGCGGAAAACGAACTGAAGCCGATGAATACCCATGAGCTGCCAAACGTATATTAGTTCTAGTTCCCTTTTGTACTGTTGACACGTTTTTATATCATTTTCTAACGCATATCCAATTAAAAACTTGTTTCCAAGTTGAATGACATTTACGATTGTTTATTTGCACAAGTGCTCTTCATTTTGGACACACGCGGCGCCGACAACTTTCAAGAGGCATATTCAAATGTTGAATAGTATCGAACAAACCATAAATAAACAAATCGAATTGTACAAAAGATTCTGAGGCGGGTTTTGAAAGTGAAACTGAATGCGTTTATTATTCCACAACGCGGCCAAATGTCGAGCATTTCCCACTCCATATATCAGCGAAAAAAACAAATCAACAAGTTATTTGAATTTGGCTTACACAGCACATTAATTGAAGCGCATTGAGAGAGAAAAGAGTGCCAAGTCTTGTGTAGGACAGTGTACTTAATTTATGCTTAAGTGGGTCTACTTGAGAGCTGTTCAAGTGGACGCTTGTAAAAAATGTAGATTGGGCAGCTATTCAAAATTTGTTGTCCCAAACACTATATAAGCCTGGCTTAACACTGGCAGTTCACATTTCAGGAAGATGCCAAAAACGTTGTCGATTCTGTATCTTATTATCGTTCTAAGTACGAGAACGATCCAAGCTCGCCAAGTGAACAAATGTAGCCTGGCGCGGCAGCTTTATCGCTATGGTGTGCCCTACAACGAGCTGCCGGATTGGCTCTGCCTGGTCGAGGGTGAGAGCTCGTTCAACACAAAGGCTATTAATCCATCGAATGTGGATGGCTCCGTTGACTGGGGACTGTTTCAGATTAACGATCGCTACTGGTGCAAGCCATCGGATGGACGACCGTCCACAGATCTGTGTCGCTTACCGTGTCGACTGTTGCTCAGCAATGACATAAGGTATTCCATTGCCTGCGCAAAATATATCAGGCAGCAGCAAGGCTTTTCCGCCTGGGTGGCATGGAATAACCGCTGTCAAGGTGCGAAGCCAAAAGTAAACCGTTGTTTTAGACGAAAGCACAGGTATTTTGGCTAAAACGAAACAGCAATAAAATGTGATATTAAATTAACTGCTAAATAAAAATCGATGCATCAACTTGTTATATTTATTCATTATATTATTTTTATTAACTAATATTAGAAATCAAGAGTTCATGCAAAATAATATATATGTATATATATAATTTCTAAGCAAGTAATAAAAATAACTGATTTTGCAAGGATTTAAAAATCAATCATTCAAACTCATAGTGTTGACAAACGTCGACTGTAGGATCTGGCAACTCTGTGCTGTATACGAGCGCAAGCTGTCTGCTACACAACACAGCAGTGAGATATTCACCTTGGCCTCGGCATTGTTTACGCAGCAAAATTTGTGAAAATTTAGAAAAATTGTTAAAACCCAAATTAAAATGGCATCCGCGTCTAGTTCCAGTGCTCGTCACTTGTTTGATGATTCCAAGAAGCGTCTGTGCGCTCGCGTTGGCGTTAATGTAAACAACTTGGGGTCTGTGGCCAGGCAAGTGGTTCGAGGGTCCAAGACAAATGAGGTGGGAAAACAAATTATTAATTGTATTAAATGTGCTAAACTATAAAGTGTTACACAGATTATGCATCAGACGCTAAAGAACTTCACGCAAGTGGATGTGGTTTCCGATTACAGCAATCAACCTGCAGAAGATGACGCTCATCCTACAGCATGTGGGTTATCAGTACGATGTGATGGAAGATAGCGTCAATCATTTGGATTACCTCAAGGAGCAGGTAACGGCTATGGAAAGATGATTGGAAGAGCAAAAGCCTAGACATTAGTTGACATTACACGCCCACTATTATTTCGACAGTTACACATCGCTCATATATTTTCATAAATACCTAGCCACAACCTCGTCTAAGGTTAATCGCAGCGCCCTGAGGGCCATGCGAGCAGCCCTTGACGGCGTCTGTGAAATCTGGTGTCGCTGGCAAACACAAAACTGCGATAAGCGCCAAGATATCTGTGCGTGGTTAGCCTATAAAAGTTGCCAGCAACGAGAGTCACACGGTTATCCGTAAGTCAGCCTTAGCATCACATCATGCAGCGCATTCAACTGCTTCTATTCGCTTGGCTGACACTTGCCGCTGCCCAGGAGATCAGCACAGAGAAGCAGAGGCTAACGGTGCCCCATGGCAGCCCTGGTCCACAGGACGGTCGCATTGTGGGTGGCTGGGAGACAAAATCACACACTTTCCGCATCAGGTCTCAGTACAGATGGGCACCCGTCATATCTGCGGCGGCACCATATTGGCGCCCAGCATTGTGCTCACCGCTGCTCATTGCGTGCTGAAGTCAAATGAGCCGCAACTCTATGCCATACGCGCTGGCTCTACCCTGTGGTCAACTGGTGGCAGCTACGTGCGTGTTCGTCGCATCATTCCCCACGAGCAATTCAACTTACCCACGCACATGAACAACGACATTGCTGTGGTGCAGCTGCAACCGCTTAACTATAGTCTCGACATACAGCCTATTCAGTTTGTCGCGCCGACGGACAATTTGGCCGCACAGGCGCAGCTCTTTGTCAGCGGCTGGGGCTCAAACAGCTGTCGAGCAAATGTCGACTGCATCGCGCCTGCATTACACAGTCATCGTCCAGCTGGATCGCCAAATTTGTACTCGGAACTATTTTGGTGCCGGCACCGTAACCAGCACCATGTTCTGTGCAGGCAGCAAGTCTGGACTTGGAGATCGCGATAGCTGCATGGGCGATTCTGGTGGTCCGTTGATAGTTCGAATTGCTGGTCGCTTCAAACTGCTCGGCATTGTATCCTGGGGCTTGGGCTGCGCAAATGCCCAGTATCCGGGCGTTTATACGTTTGTCCCTGCTTATGGCGACTGGTTGTTGCAGACAGTTAAGACACTGACCTAGTCTTATTTTTATATGTTAAGTTTTTGCCTTAATGTGCACAATTTTGCATATGCAATTAGGGAAAATAGTTTTGAAAGCAAGTATCTTCAAAGAAATTTAATTATTTGCTTTTAAGTATGTACATAAATAAATAGCTTCTCTTAATAAACAAAGTAACACGGAATTAAATTATTTTCCGCTCGGTAAATAATATAGACAGTATGTAAAAACTAAATATTCTGAAACAATAGTTTTAAATCTTTAAGTATATTTTACTGCTTCTAAATGCTTAAGCAGAGATAAACTTGTTCCGTCTGTCTAAAACTTTAAGCATCTACTTAAATATATGATATAAAATGTGACAAGTATTTTCACTTTCCGACAGATTAAAATTAAAATTCGTATCGTTAGGCTTATTAATAGAAATGCTTTCATTTACAACTCGTTCAAGGAATCCGTCGGCAATATACTTTTTACTTGTTTTAAGTGGTTTTGATAAGCGTATTTATTCCTGTTTGTAAAGTTAATAGCAAAAATAAGCTCGTTTGATTTTCGATATTTATTGCATAATTCCTTTTTATCTAAGTTACCAACTATTTTAGGTATTTAAATTCTTAAATATATTATTAAAACTGTTTAGTTTCATGTTTTGCTATAACTGGTATTATATTTTAATATCGTTTTTTTACTTCCAAAAATTATTTAACTCACTAAAATGTCAATTTTTTCTGGTTGAAAGCAAAAGTTTCATCATGAACTATTTCCAAGAGAGATTTGAGCACACAACTTCAAGCTTGCGAATTTTAAGAATATATGACATTAAGAGATTCTAGTATTAGAGGAACTTGGGTGTTTTTCGTAGAACAGCAAAGCTTGCTTATCTGGGGTATTACAAAAGACATTAAATTCAACATTAAAGTCGAATTGTCTTGTTTATGAATGCAAAATTGAAAAAAAAAAAAATAGAAAAAACAAAACAAGTTTTGACTTTAAAGCTTTGATTGGCGTATATATAAAAAGCGAATCTGAGAAGCTAAAGCACTGAGAGCCAGACAAGTTTTTTCGGTTTCGACGACTACGACTCACAAAAATTCGCTACAGGTTTTCAGTTTCCCAACGCAGTTCAACAAACAGACACACGTTTAAAAAAAAAATAGAGAAACAAAAAACCGACAGCATGAAGCAATTTCCTCATATTGGTAAGCCATAGACAAAGATAGTTATTGAGCGCATAAATAACAACAACATTTCCGGTTGAATGTTGCAAGGTCGTTGCGCCATTGGGCGCCAGTCGCGCGGATGTGGTCGCACCTGCAGCTGGCCACCACACCAGAGCCCACATGCGCCAGCTAATCCGTATGTGTTTCAGCTACCAGGCGGGACGTGCGCCCTGGTCATGTAGATCGCCAGCATACAGAGGTGTCCGATGGTTCGGGCGTATACGCGGCGCTTCTCCTATGTGGATCCCAAGAATCAGGTGCGCACCGTTCAGTACGTGGCCGATGAGAATGGCTTCCATCCGCAGCTGAGTCATCAGCTGGAGGACAGCGAAGCCGTCAAGGCGGCCAAGCGCAAGCACTTTGCTGCCTATAATCGCATTGCGCAAGAGCACGCCAGCCACACCACCAGGCCAAGCGGTGAGTATGGCCGAGAGATGAATCAATTTTAAATGCGAGTCTCAATGCTACCTGCACGTCGCGAGCCAATCTCTTGCAAATTGTACATTGTGCACAATTTTATTTGATATTTCCATTCCACTTGCAGTCGCTCGCAGCTGCTCCCCATGGCAGCGCTGCCGTCAATTATGCAACCCAAAAACATTTGAGCGCATATGAGCGTATTGCAGCGGAGCATGCTGCTATTGGGGCCCAGCAGGAGGCGCACGTTTGGCACTGCCGCTCAGTCGGAAGCCGGCGACATTGACAATGGACAATATCATCCATAAGTTGCTAAGTTTCTAAAGTGTGTTCAATAAACAATTGATTTGAAAATATTTCCGTTAGTTTTTATTCGATTGCCACAAAACCTGCAGAAACAGTGTTGGTAATTCCAAAATATTTAATATATTACAAACATGGTTCTTAATTTTAAAAGATCTTTATTTGTATATTATAATTTTTTAAAATATTGTTAATAGTTGTTAGTTATTCGGCGCATAGTATAAGTTTCGCGTGCAACTCTTAACAAATTTTGAACTGATTTTATACATCTAGTTATTAAACTCTATATTAACTTAATGTTCTTACTCCCATTCATTAGTCAAATCATTGCCAGTGTTTCGAGCATCATGAGTGTGCAGCCGTGCTTCTTAGCGTCTATAATTTGGTCTTTGGCAAGTTTTAAATAGAATGTAGCGGACATTCATTTATTATTTTCCTTTCAGTTCAGCATAGGCAGCGGTAATGAAATATGCCAAAAGCTTAATAACTAATGAGGAGCTAGAAGCCATGCCATGAAAACCACTTATTGAAGATATTTCGAATATATTTCAATGCAAGTGCTTGTTAAAAGATATCTTGGGAGATGACAGCAAGCTCGATATGGAATTGCTTCTCAAAGATAAATCATAGAAATGGTGTCGTCGCTGTGAGGAATTGGAGCAGTGCAAGGAGCAATACAGCCATTTGACCATCAGTAATGATATTAATACATTCAATATAGTAAATACCCAGTATGTTTAAGATATTTTGATAAACAAAAAAGTTTCTCACACAAGAGTCTTCTCTTCGACCGATCGTTCCTATGGCAGATATATGATATAGTGGTTCGATTCAGTCGGTTTCGACATACATCAAGTTTCTTTGACTCGGCTGTTGATGCTGATCAAGAATATATATGTACTTTATGGGGCCGGAGATGTCTCCTTCTATGCGTTACACATTTCGAGAAGAACTGACAATACCCTCTGCAAGGGTAAAATAATTAATGATTAATTTTAGTTGATACAACAAAACCGATGCCAAACATTGGTAAATGGTGGTTTATTTTATGGCTCATACGTAATTCGTAACGGCTTATTGTTAAGAAAATCCAAATTTTGTAGTTAAGTGAAAGAAAAAATATAAGCATTAAGCCGAGAGACTTTGAATCTCACTTTATCAGCTGGTGCTGCTTTGTCTGGCTTGCTATTGTCTGATAAGCGAAAGCTCTCCCATTTCATATAATCAGCTTAACTCGAGCTTTAATTTCGCATTTCGAAACGCGCTCTCAGGGAAATACGAGATGCGTTTAGCTTTAAACTGCGCCTTCATTCTGACAGCCGTCGTGCTGTGCGCGGCGTACAAGGTGCCAAGCGCCCAAGTGCGAGTGTTCTATCCCAAGGGATTTGAGGTTTCCATACCGCACGAGGAGGGCATTACATTGTTCGCCTTCCATGGCAAGCTAAACGAGGATTTTGATGGATTGGAAGCTGGCACATGGGCGCGCGACATACCCAGTGCGAAAAAGGGACGCTGGACATTCCGTGATCGGGAAACCGTTTTGAATATAGGCGACACCCTGTACTATTGGACCTTTGTCGTCTATAATGGACTGGGCTATCGCGAGGATGATGGCGCGTATGTGGTCACCGAGTATACGCAAAGTGGGAAATCCTAAGACAGCTTGAAATAAGCACGAAATCGAAGTCTATAACGTGAATGGCTAATTTCCATTGTGTGTCAATTAAAAAACCTGTCTTTAATTAACTTATATGAATACATTACGAGTAGACATAGAACGTAGAATTGGTTTATATAGGCTATTCTCTTAAATATACGTTACATAATATATAGAAGAACAGGCTTTTCGCTTGACTGTGCCCTGCTTATTTGGTATATTTTACAGGGTATTTCCTTGTACAAGTACTCGCAACTGCCTTCCTTTAAAACTGACTTGTTCTTGGAACAATTGATATGTATGTCTAGTAATTGTATTAATTTGGCGTACTTAAATGATTCTGAATAAAATTCGAATTGTTATGATAAATACGGAATCCGATAGTGCTTCTCGCAGTCTGCATATGGGAAATGTCATGTATAATGCAATTAAGTCAACTGATATTTCAATATATAAAGCAAATGCTTTAATGAAAATGCATTTATTATGCATCCAGACTCGTTTCGTGTGATTCATTTAATTATTTTTGTTAATAAAATTGCAGTGCATATTTATGCTCTTTTAAACGCTGTAATTAATCATGAATAAATCGCATTCCATTAATGGTCACACGTGTGCGAAGGGGCTGCTCCACCCACCGATCCACCAGCCCGACGAGCCACCAACTCGACGACCCACAAACCATCAGCTCAGACAGCGCAAACTTGCCAAGGATTCACAGGGCAAATTGATGAAGTTTTAGTTGTGGCAACTGCACTACGTGACGTGTGCGTATCCAGACAAACGCAACGGCCACGCCCTTTGCCACGCCCATGTTCACCTTTTTTTTTTTGGTCGTCCTTGGACTCTTTGTGCTTCTTTCTCCAAATTGTTCCTCTTCTTTTTTTGTTGGTTCTATGCTACAACAAAGCAAATGCAATTACAACGCAATGTGAACACATTTTTTGCACTCACTGTGGCGCATTCGTCAGCCGCACTAAATTGGTCTGGCAAATTCTTTTTGGACAGCTACAGGTCTACAGTCTGCGTCTGCATCTAGCACTACTTTTATAATTTCTGCACTTTTGTGCATTGCGTTAAACGCTTCAATGCCCCTGCGTTTTGCCTTACACCAATTGCCAAAAGTGCAACAAATGTTGCTTGTCCTTGTAGCAAGATAGTATTTATTTGCCGTGGTAGAATACCCTTTCGATTTAAGATTTATCATTTATCGTCAAATTTATAATTTCTTCACGTTAAATGGTATTAAATATAATAAAAGATATTTAGTTTTATTTTTGTTCATGATTTTATTTCATTTTACTTTGATTACTTGTGGCGAAAATTTGTCTTACGTCTTGGGACTGGATCTTTCTACCAAGTCATATAAATAATACTTTTGTTTTAATTTTATCTAATTATTTTTTTTATTAAATATCCTCATTATGTCTAAGACGAAAGAGATAAACATAGGTAAGATTCGGAGCTCGTGAATTTGCTCAGACAACCCTTCGGTTAGGGTAATAAAGGGCTGCTACACACGTTCAGGCGCTTAATGCCTGACACGTTTCGCTTTTGGGGCGTGCCCGTCTGCAAACACACACATATATATAGTGACATATCCATAGTCGCACCCACCCTTTAACATAACTTAGCACATAAGCATAAGCACAATTATAAACATTTCTAATATTGTAAACAAAGAGCCTGGTGATAACATCGACATTGGTCAAGATCAAACTGTCCCCCTTTGGTAGACATAAACAATTCACCCTAAATATCACGCCACTGTCAATGTTCCCATCAGAGTACTATCCCACGCATAATTGCTGACGCAGCTCAAACTTCACTCAATTTTGACTCAAACTCTCTCAAAGCGAAGTTTGCTAAGCGACCGCAACAGTTAGATAAATCAGTTCATATTCGGGAAGCAAATCTGAATGTACTCAACAAAAGTAGCCGTTAAGTGAAAATAATAAATTGAAATATATTTTTTTATAGTAACCTAACGTGTAAAACTTAATTGGCGCAGCCGGTAGGATACGTCGGGAAAATTAAAGATCGCTAAAGGATAATTAATTCCCAGATCTAACGCACAATCGCGACCGAAAGTGTTGTCGGAGTGTAATAAAAATTTTCTCGAATACGTATCCGCACAAGAACCTTCGGGTCATTAGTAGCTTAATAATATTGACCCTTTGGGCAATAAAGCTACTACAGTTAATAACGACTGGATTTGCATATCGTTTGATCCCTGCAATACGTTATTACTGAGTCTTTTTAAGACACACACACAAAAAAAAAAACATTTAACCAATAATCCATCACAAACTTTAACCTAAAATAAAAGTGCAAAATCAAAGAACAATAAAGTTCAAACCTACAAACTCAAAACTATTCAAAAAAAAGTGTATTACACCAAGATGACAATGGAATTATCAGAACAACACCTCAACCAGGCCCTTTCACAACTTAGACAGGTGCCAAGCTTTGACGGATCAACGGATCAACTAAACGCCTTCATTAAAAGGATAGATTACATCCTACACCTGTATCCAACCCGAGATGTTAGACAACATAGCATCTTATACGGAGCCATCGAATTGCAAGTCACAGGAGATGCTCAGAGAATATCACAAAGGACAGCAGCCAACACTTGGCAGGAGCTGAGAAACGCATTGATTGAAGAATACAAAGTGCAGACACCATTTGAAGAACTCCTTCGACGCTTATACAACACGAATTACCAAGGAAACGTCCGTAAGTTCATCGAGGAGCTCGAGAATAAATCTTTTGTTATATTAAATAAGTTAGCACTAGAAAATATACCTAGCAATACAACCCTTTATACAAATGCTATGAATAACACAATCAAAGATGTTATTACAAAAAAATTACCAGATAGGCTTTTCATGATGTTAGCCAGACACGACATTACGTCGACACAAAAACTAAAGCAAGTAGCTCAAAGAGAGGGATTATATGAAAATAGCGTTACTGAAAAACCTAAAAATAATAATGTTCAGGGAAATCCAAATAACAATCGTAGGAACATGGGAAATTATCAGCAAAATGCTAACCCAACCACCATTTCAAGTGGCTATTCCAACACGAATCAGAGTTATCACGCACAAAATAAACAGCATAATAAGTCCGAAGACAATCAGAAAGCTCACCACGAGTTCCAACAGAAATTAAGTCAAGGTAGATACCAAAATCCCTTAAACTACCAAAATCAGTCCCATTCACGCTTGAATGCACCAAACCCTCCGACTAAACGTCAAAGAGATAGTAACAGTGGGCAGATGAAAATGGATACATCCGAAAATTTTCATCAGCAAGCCTCGGAACAAACAGAAGAAATCCATTCATAAAATTGATTATGAATGACGAAGTTCTAAAATGTGTCATCGACACAGGTTCAACCATTAATCTAATGAAAACTAACCGCTTAAATTTTCCAGTTTACAACGAAACATTAAAGGTTCACACCATAAATGGTGTTATTGAATTAAAACAAAGTATACGATTAGGAGCAAGCAAAATTTGTCCGAGCAAACAAAAATTCTATATTCACGACTTCTCAGAGCATTATGATGTTCTGATTGGGAGAGAATACCTTGAGGCATGTCAAGCAAAAATAGACTATGCACAAGGATCCGTAACCTTAGGAGAATTTAACTTTTGTTTTAGATATAACGACGAAGAGGTCGAAGAGGACATGACCGCACAAGAGTGCCTTGATCCACCCTCAACAGAGGACAGACCATTTAACTTCGCTATAAATAATGAATTAATAGAAAACAATGAGTTTAGGCTAGAACACCTAAACTCAGAAGAAAAAGAAAAAATAAAAAAGTTTTACATGAATTTCGTGATATCCAGTACCATGAAGGTGACAATTTGACTTTCACTAGTACAATTAAACACAAAATTCTAACAAAACATGAGGACCCAATTTACAAGCGTCCATACAAATATCCTCAAATATACGATGAGGAAGTAAATAAACAAATAAGCGATATGATAAAACAAAATATCATACGTAAATCCAAATCCCCTTACTGCTCACCAGTAATAATCGTTCCAAAGAAAAACGATGCATCTGGAAAGCAAAAATTCCGGTTAGTCATAGATTACCGCAATCTCAATGAACTAACTATTAATGATAAATACCCTATCCCGATCATGGATGAAATATTAGACAAACTTGGAAAATGTCAATATTTCACAACCATTGATCTAGCCAAAGGCTTTCACCAAATCCAAATGGATCCTGGTTCAATACCCAAGACCGCATTTTCGACTAAACATGGCCATTACGAGTACACTCGCATGCCATTTGGTCTTAAGAATGCACCTGCAACGTTCCAACGTTGTATGAACAATCTCTTAGAAGATTTAATTTTTAAAGATTGTCTGGTCTACTTAGACGACATTATTATTTTTTCCACTTCATTGGAGGAACACATTTTGTCGCTACAAAAGGTATTTAAGAAGCTTAGAGAAGCTAACTTAAAACTACAGTTGGATAAATGCGAGTTTATGAGAAAAGAAACTGAATTTCTCGGTCACATCATCACAACTGAGGGTATAAAACCAAATCCCAACAAGATACAAGCAATTGTCAAATTCCCAATTCCAAAAACCCCAAAAGAAATTAAATCATTTCTAGGATTATGTGGTTTCTATAGGAAATTTATACCAAATTTCGCTAATATAGTAAAACCATTAACACTTAAATTAAAAAAGGGAGCAAAAATCAATATAAAAGACAGAGACTACGAACTAGCGTTTGAAAAGCTAAAAGTACTCATAACATCCGACCCAATTTTAATATACCCTAACTTCGAAAAACCATTTTCATTAACTACAGACGCAAGTAATATGGCAATAGGGGCCGTCCTTTCGCAAGAGCATAAGCCTATATGCTATGCAAGTAGAACTCTCAACGAGCATGAGTTAAATTATTCAACGATTGAAAAAGAATTATTAGCAATCGTTTGGGCCACTAAATACTTTAGGTCCTATCTTTTTGGTCGACAATTTCAAATCCTTAGTGATCACAGACCACTCGTCTGGTTAAATAATATGAAAGAACCTAACATGAAATTACAAAGGTGGAAGATCAAGCTAAATGAGTTTGATTTCCAAATTAAATACGTCCCAGGAAAAGAAAATTATGTGGCAGATGCTCTGTCCAGAATTCAATT